GTTTTTACAAAGCAGAAGTGTTGTAAGAAGAGTAGAGTATATGAAGAGTAAAAGTAAGGTGAAGAGAGTGCAAAAGGAAAGCAGATGAGTGAGATAAACAAGTTAAGAAAGCCTAGAGAACGAATGGATTTGTCAGTTAAAAACAGAGTAGGGGAGTTTGTGATTGGAGAGCTAGAGGTATTGGGTAAATGGCGGGAATATTTTGAGAAACTTTTAAATGTCGAAGTAAGGGAGGCGATAATTTCGTGCACTGGTCAGAGAGGTATAACATTGTTTAGGAGTGAAGAAGAGCAGGATGTGAGTGTAGGGGAGGTGCGTGAGGCATTATGTAGAATGAAAGGAGGTAAAGCAGCTGGAACTGACGGGATCATGATAGAAATATTAAAAGCAGGGGTAAATATAGTGTTGGAGTGGTTGGTATTTTTGTTTAATAAATGTATGAAAGAGGGGAAGGTACCTAGGGATTGGCAGAGAGCATGTATAGTTCCTTTATATAAAGGGAAGGGGGACAAAAGAGATTGTAAAAATTGTAGGGGAATAAGTTTACCGAGTATACCTGGAAAAGTGTACATTAGGGTGATCATTGAAAGAATTAGAGGTAAGACAGAGAGTAGGATTTTGGATGAGCAAGGAGGCTTTAGTGTGTGTAGGGGATGTGTAGATTAAGTGTTTACATTGAAGCATATATGTGAACATTGTTTAAATAAAGGTAGGGAAGTTTTCATTGCATTAATGAATTTAGAAAAGGCATATGATAAAGTGGATAGGGGAGTAATGTGGAATATGTTGGAAGTACATGTATATGGAATAGGTGGTAAGTTACTAAATGCTGTAAAGAGTTTTTATGAGGATAGTGAGGCTCAGGCTAGGATGTGTAGAAGAGAGGGAGATTACTTCCTGGTAAAAGTAGGTCTTAGACAGGGATGTGTAATGTCACCATGATTGTTTGATATATTTATAGATGGGGTTGTAAAAGAAGTAAATGCTATGGTGTTGGGGAGAGGGGCGGGATTAAATTACGGGAAATCAAATACAAAATGGGAGTTGACAGTTACTTTTTGCTGATAATACTGTACTTATGGGAGATTCTAAAGAAAAGTTGCACAGGTTAGTGGACGAATTTTGGAGGGTGTGTAAAGATAGAAAGTTGGAAGTGAACATAGACAAGCGTAAAGTGATGAGGGTATCAAATGATTTAGATAAAGAAAAATTGGATATCACATTGGAGAGAAGGAGTATGGAAGAAGTGAATGTTTTTAGATATTTGGGAGTTGACGTGTCAGCAGATGGGTTTATGAAGGATGAAGTTAACCATAGAATTGATGAAGGAAAAAAGGTGAGTGGTGGGTTGAGGTATATGTGGAGACAAAAAATGTTATCTATGGAGGCAAAGAAGGGAATGTATGAAAGTATAGTGGTACCAACTCTTATATGGGTGTTAAGCTTGGGTTGTAAATGCTGCAGTGAGGAGGTGGTTGGAGGCGGTGGAGATATCCTGTGTAAGGGCAGTGTGTGGTGTAAATATTATGCAGAAAATTCAGCGTGTGGAAATTATGAGAAGGTGTGGAGTTAATAAAAGTATTAATCAAAGGGCTGAAGAGGGGTTGAGGTGGTTTGGTCATTTAGGGAGAATGAATCAAAGTAGAATGACGTAGCATATAAATCTGTAGAGGAAGGAAGGCAGGGTAGGGGTCTTCCTCGAGAAGGTTGGAGGAAGGAGGTAAAGAAAGTTTTGTGGGCAAGGGGTTTGGACTTCCTGCAAGTGTATGTGAGCGTGTTAGATAGGAGTAAATGGAGACGAATGGTTTTTGGGACCTGACGAGCTGTTGGAGTGTGAGCAGTGTAATATTTAGTGAAGGGATTCAGGGAAACCAGTTATTTTCATATAGCCAGACTTGAGTTCTGGAAATGGGAAGTAGTACAATGTGTGCACTTTAACCCTTTCAGGGTCCAAAGGCCAAATTTCAAAGTGCTACCAGTGTCCAAGAATTGTCGAAAAATAATTGTTATTTTTTCTTATGAAATGGTAGAGAATCTTATTCTGAAGGTAATAAAACACAAAGTACGAAATTTGATGGAAAATTGACGAAATTATGCTCTCGCAAATTTTGATGTGTCGGCGATATTTACGCATTGGCGATTTTGCCGACTTTGACTCCCATTTTAGGCCAATTACTTTATTCCAGTCGACCAAATTCTTAGCTATTTCATTAGTATTACTTCTATCAACTGAGCACAAGAAATTGCCAAGTCAACTGTTTCAACTACAAAATAGTGATTGGAAATTGGTAATTTGGCCAATTTAATGCAAAGTTCAAAATATTCCAATTTCGAAATAGGGTCCAGAATAAACAATGCAGGCATTCCTGGCACTAAACTAACATTTCCTCTGTTCATTAGTTGGGTTTTGAGGCTTTACAGATGAATTCCATTTTCATTTTTAATTCATATAAGGAATTTTTATTCAAACAAAAATGGAAGATTTGCTGTCATTCAATATTGTAATAATTGTATAACTAATATCAGCACATTTGTGAACGTATATTAGACCCACGAACTGACTTGTATTAGATGTGTAAGGTCATTTGTTTACTCTTGAACATCGGCAAAAATTTAACATTTCCGCTACTTTGAGCTCAGTTTCAAGTCCTTTTCAGTACTAAAACCAATCAAAATCATCTCTATTTATGTAATATATCTTCCATTCTATCAAATGAGACCAAGAAATTGCAAATACAACTATAAAAAACATACGAAAAAACACTGCAAAGTTGCTGATTTTAATAAAAAATTATGGTCTCTGTTTTTTTCTCTCATTATGCACTGTGTGCTGCACATCTGTGTGGTGCACACATACCACATGGATGTATTCTCTCATATCTAGGCCCAAATTTACCATTCACAGCTTATCAGAGTGAGCTGAGCTCATGGTGTAGATCTACGGTTTGGTCCCTCAATGTAAAGCCATAAATCTCTGGCATGGACCCTCAAAGGGTTAACGGAGGGGTTTGGGATAATGGCAGTTTGGAGGGATATGTTATATATCTTTATGTACAGTAGACCGTCATTTAACACAGTTAGGTTCCCGAAAATGCCGTGTTAAGTAAAATCGTGTGAGATGAACTAAAGAACTTGAGGGAAAAATAGGGTTACATTCCTAGGAGCCACCAAAAAGTCAAACAACTTTTTTTTGGGCCTCCACATCTTACAAAAATAAAAGTGAATATGTAGTTTTAGTTCATTGCTGTGATGTATTATGTTGTTTTTACTGCTTAAGACTACAAATGTAACATAAATAATAGTATTTCTTAACTTAAATTGTGGGTGCTGGTGTTTGTGGTTGATTGTGGAGAGTTATGCTGTGGCCCTACTGGGCTGAGGTGGATGGTAGAAGTTCTGGTACTGAAGTCGATGGTTGTACTGGAGTGTCCAACTTTGTCATTCAGTCAGTAAGTCAGTTGCTATCCAGTCAGTCAGTCAAGCCACTCAGTGAGTCAGGCAAGTCACTCAGGAAGGCAGGCAGTTCAATCAGTCATTCAGTAAGTTCAGACATTCAGTAAGTCAGTCACAGAAACTCATGTTTACCTCTTTGTGTACAAAGTAACACTTCATTACAGCTACAGGTTATCTCTTGGCTAATATCTTTGTTTCTTTGTTAAATGTAAGACTTTAGTGCTTATACGTACCTCTTCTTGCCACTTTCAGCAACACTGGTATGGCTACTGGGTGTCATGATTGCTTAGCAGATACAAGATATAGTAATTAAAATATCATAACACAATTCACAAACACAGCAGCCTTGTACCAGAGAAAGACTGGACTGGACATGTATGAATTATGAATTGTGAATGTTGGGATGGTGGGGTGGTATCGGGGAGTGGTAGGGGATGGCGGGAGGGCTCCCTGGCTGCTCCACAACAGGGCGGCTGCTTGAGCAAAAGAGAATTTTTTTTTTCCTTCCCACAGACTGAACCGTGTTAAATTAATTATACGACGTGTTACATAAAATTGTGCTGCAATTCTTCAGTCGTGCAATACCCAAATCATGCCAAATAAACTCATGCTGAATGATGGTCTACTATATATGCTTCTAAACTGTTGTATCTGGGTGCCTATGCAAAAACAGTGATTATGTATGAGTGAGGTGAAAGTGTTGAATGATGATGAAAGAATTTTCTTTTTGGGGATTTTCTTTCTTTTTGGGTCACCCTGCCTCGGTGGGAGACTGCCGACTTGTTGAAAAAAAAAAAATTGTCATGCCCAGTTCGCCTGTAAAATATTTACTGTACAGTGGAACCTCGGCTTACGAATTTAATCCGTTCCTCGACCTTGTTCGTATCGTGATTTGTGATAAATTCAACTAACGACAAGCTCTCTGGAATGGATTATTATTATTGGTTGAGGGTCCACTCTACGTATTTGGTGCAAGTTGATAAGGTCTAGATAGAGGGAAGGAGGGTAGAGATCTATGGAGAGCTATTGGTATAGGGAGAGGAAAGGTGAGAGGAAAGGTGAGAGGTTATAGGAGAGTGATGGGGACTGGAAAAGAAAGTGTGATGTATGGCGAAGGAAAAGAGAAGAGGAAGAATTGAGAAAAGTAGAAAGAGGCAGGGGAGGAGTACACAGGTCCAAAGCATATAGCAGGACAGTTTAGTCTATATTGAGGGCCACCTGTTGAAGGAATAACTAGTCTGGCTAATGCTACTTGGCTGTAGATAGAAGAGGCAAGAATAGTACAGCAGATGGTTTTCTCCTTCCTTCCAATACAGTAGCGTTCTTCAGGGTAATGTAAGCTTCTGGTGTTTTTTCAAAGGGAATATTTAATGCAGGAAGGTTTTCTGGTAAATATTTTATTTGAATACACTGTGGAATGGGGTTGGGGAATTACACACGTTTTATCTTTTATAAAATTAAATGCCTAGTTAATTGTTAGCTACTATCTCATTGATATTTACATGATAATTTAGATGTTTGCATAATATCGACTATTGACTCTGCAGGTACACCAACAGTCAACCAAGGCTGGAAGCAGTGGAAGTGGACCACGGGCAAAAAAAAGCACCGCTACAGGTGGCGGTGCTCAGTTTGTCGGCTTAGAGCTTTATAAGCGCCTTAAAGATTTCCTTAAAACATACCTGCTCACACTTATGAAAGTAAGTACTAATAATGTATGAAAATGAATGTCAATACATGTATGTAGTTATTTAACACTTTGAGGGTCGAGAGGCCATCTCCCAAACTCTTTCTCAGGATCGAAAATTTTTGAAAAAAAAAAAAAAAAAAAAGGAAATTATAGAGAATCTTTTTCCAGTCATAATGACACCAAAAGTATGAAATCTGATGGAAAACTTACGGAATTATGCTATTGCGAAGTTAGCAGTCTCGAAGTGGGCTATTTTGCCCACTTTGAGCCCTATTTTTGCCCAATTCCAATGTTGCAGTTGACTAAAATCATAGCCATTTCCCTAGAACTCCATTTGTTCTATCGATTCAGTTAAAGAATAAGCCCATTTACCGATTTCAACTACCCAATAAAGTGATCAGAAATTGGCAATTTGGGCAATTTCACACAAATTTTGAAAGATGCCAATTTCAAAACAGGGTTCAGAATAAACAAGACACATTCATGGCACTAAAATAACATTTTATCTGTTCGTTAGTCACGTCTCTAGGCCCCTCTTACATTACTTTGCTTTCTGTTTTGAATTTTTATTCTCGCAGAAAATAGAAGGTTTCTGTTATGTATGCTACTGTATCATTGTAATAATGGTATAAATGATATCGGCACACTTGTGAAAGAATAATACACTCGCCAGTTGACGTGTATTGGACGCGTGGCTTGATTTGCTTACTCTTGAACATCGGCAAAAATCGATAATTTTCGCTACTTTAAGCTCAATTTCAAGATACTTGTTATCATGAAACTAATCAAAATTATCTCCATTACTGTAACATATCTTCCATTCTATCAAATGAGACCAAGGAAACGAGAATACAACCATAAATACCATACAAAAATACATTATAAAGTCGCTGTTTTAAACCAAAAAGTAATTTTTTTTTCTCATTATGCACAGCGTGCTTCAGGATTTGTTTTATACTGCACACACTGACCACACAGACCCATTCTTTCATATGTAGGCCTGCCAGCTTTCTTCCACCAGATTTGAAGGCACTAGAATTTAGGCGTACAAGTATGTGACTGACCCTGTACTGACGTACTGTATTTGTATGTGACCGGCCCTCAAAGGGTTAACCTTGAAACTGTGTCCGATGTACTGGTACACAACTGAAGACTGTGTCCATTCTAGTATGCACAGTTCTTTTGTACCATTAAATCTGCCACGTGCCAATATTTTTGACCTCAGCACAACTCTCTGGGATGACTTCAGTCTAATCATACATTTGAAAAAAATTTAAGCCAGTAGGGTTCAAACAGTACATCATGGTTAACTACACAAATGATGGCACTGTCCTACATACTAGTACACCCAGCTAGCAAAAGTAAACGGCAAAATCAGGAGCTGTTGTTCCTCCACTAGCTTCCCTACCACAAACAGGTTATGTAAGTGGCACAAAGATGATTTATACGTCCAAATTTATTAGAATTTCAAGATACTAACAGTGGAATTTGGCCACAAAGCACATTAAATATGTTTAATCTAGTAAAGTCAGTGTGACTTCCATGTTTTGAAGAGTATTACACTCCGAAATAATTGTAGTATAAGTACAGTGGACCCCTGCATACCGTTGGCCTTACATAACGTTAAATCCGCATACCGCTACATTTTATCGCTAAGATTTTGCCTCGCATACTGCTAAAAACCCGATCAACGCTGTTCGTCCGAGACGCGTCTAATGTGTGCCCTTAGCCAGCCTCACATGTTCCGCCGGTGGCATTGTTTATCAGCCAGCCTCCGCGGTAACATCCAAGCATACAATCGGAACATTTCATATTATTACAGTGTTTCTGGTGATTTTTATCTGCAAAATAAGTGACCATGGGCCCCAAGAAAGCTTCTAGTGCCAACCCTACAGGAATAAGGGTGAGAATTACTGTAGAGATGAAGAAAGAGATCATTGATAAGTATGAAAGTGGAGTGCGTGTCTCCGAGCTGGCCAGGTTGTACATAAAACCCCAATCAACCATCGCTACTATTGTGGGCAACAAAAAGGCAATCAAGGAAGCTGTTCTTGCCAAAGGTTTAACTGTGTTTTCGAAACAGAGATCGCAAGTGATGTAAGATGTTGAGAGAGACTTATTGGTGTGGATAAATGAAAAACAGATAGCAGGAGATAGCATCTCTCAAGTGATCATAAGTGAAAAGGCTAGGAAGTTGCACGAGGATTTAATTAAAAAAATGCTTGCAACTAGTGATGATGTGAGTGAATTTAAGGCCAGCAAAGGTTGGTTTGAGAGATTTAAGAAGCGTAGTGGCATACATAGTGTGATAAGGCATGGTGAGGCTGCCAGTTCGGACCACAAAGCAGCTGAAAAATATGTGCAGGAATTCAAGGAGTACATAGACAGTGAAGGACTGAAACCTGAACAAGTGTTTAATTGTGAGAACAGGCCTATTTTGGAAGAAAAGGCAAGCAGGACGTTAACATTACTGAGGAGGTAGGAAAAGGCTCTCAGGTCATAAGCCTATGAATGACAGGCTTTACTCTTTCATGTGTGGCCAATGCTTGGTGATTGCAACAAGTGAGCCTTTATTTGTGTATCAATTCTGAAAACTCCCAGACGTTCAGGCAAAGAATGTCCTCAAGGCTTAATTAGTGTGTGCGGTGGAGGGCAAACAGTAATGGCATGGGTCACTAGGGACTTTTTCTATGACTGGGTTACTCCAGGAAATTGCCCCCAATGTGAAGTTATCCTAACTGAAAAGAAATTAGAAACTTAAGTGCCTCCTGGTGTTAGGACAATTGGGGGGTGTGCCCCTGGTCATCCTACAGACGTGGCCAGAGCGGGGGTGGAAACTTTATGGGGACATGAAATTCATTAAGGTGAAGTTTTTGCCTCCTAATTACCCACTCCTCTCCTGCAGCCCATGGACCAGCAGGTTATTGCACACTTCAAAAAACTGTACACAAAAGCTCTGTTATGAAAGGTGCTTTGTAGATGACCTCAGAAAAACTCAACTGACTCTAAGAGACTTTTGGAGAGATCACTTAAATATCCTCAATTGTGTAAACCTTATAGGTATGGCTTGGGAGGGAGTGACTAAGAGGACCTTGAAACTCTGCTTGGAAGTAATCTGTGGCCAGATGTGTAGGACCAAAGGGATTTTGAAGGGTTAAGGTATCCCTGAGAATCCTATGCCAGTTGAGGAATTCCATTAGGGCATTGGGAAAGTCCTTGGGTTGGAGGTTGTGGGGTGATGATGTGGAAGAGTTGGTGGAGGAGTACAATGAAGAACTACCCACTGAGAGCTGATAGATCAACTTCAACAGCATGAGGCAAGTCCTGAGGAAACTGGTGCGAAGGAGGGGACAGAGAGAATTGAAGAAATTTGCCTACTACAAAGATTAGGAAATCTGTGCAATGTGGCTGAACGTGCAAACCTTTATGGATGATTAATCTACACCCTCCACACGAGCTATTGGCAAAGCCGTGCTGGTAAACTATTACCCAGACAAATGTTGATGAAAACACTTTTAGGAAGTCATAAAGGAGACGAGAGAGTACAGGCCACTATGGACAGATATGTTGTGCGACAGAACTCCCTGTGACTCGGAGCTGGTCCTAGTGGCATTAAAAGAAGGAGGGAAGTAACCCCAGAAAAGGACCTTGACACCTCATGTCTTAAGGAAGGGGATTCCCTTCTAAACACTAACACACCACTCCTCCTCCCATCCCATCAATCATCACCAGATCTTCAATAAAAGTAAGTGTCATATGATTGTGCATGCCTTTTTCAGTTTGTGTGTATTAAAATTAATATTTCATGTGGTAAAAATTTTTTTTTTTTCATACTTTGGGGTGTCTTGCACGGGAAGTATTTTTGATTTCCATTATTTCTTATGGGGAAAATTCATTCGCATAACGATAATTTCGCATAACAATGAGCTCTCTTGCACGGATTAATATCGCTATGCGGGGTCCACTGTACTGTGTGCACATACTCCTTTTTTTTTTTTTTTTTTTTTTTTTTTTTTTTTTTTTTTTTTTTTTTTTTTTTACACTTCTGCCATCTCCCACAAAGGCAGGGTGACCAAGAAAAAAAAAAAACATTCACTGTCATTCACACTATCACTGTCCTGGCAGAGCATGCAGATATGACAGTTAGATATCACCCTCAGCAGCAAGTATCCCAAATCCCTCCTTTAGAGTGCATGAATTGTACTTCCATCTCCAGGACTTGAGTCTGGTTAATTGGTGTCCCTGAATCTCTCCACCCTTCACAAAATATTACTCTGCTCACATTCAGTGTGCTGCAAGTTAGGTTTCAGGCCACTGCTGTAAAGTGAAACATAACTTTTTTTCACATCCAAATGCTCACACTCAGTGTGAGCAAGTGGAGCAGTGTTGGGTTAGGCATTTCCACATATTTGCAGTTCTTAAACACCTTTAAGCACATCTAATATGATAAACTAGCATACATAATGTTGAACATTAACCCTTTGAGGGTTGAGAGCCCTGTCCTAATCTCGTTCTCAGGGTCGAAAAATATTCGGGAAAAAAAAATTTTTTTGTTATGAAATGATAGACCATATTTTTGTGAGTGTTATTTTTATTTTTATTTTATTTATTTTTATTTTGTCTTTGCAAACAGTACATTGAGATGTTGTATTTACAATAGTGGGTTGCAGTGCAGAGAGAGAGACTATTATGCCTAGGCATTATGGGCCAACTTAACATTATTGGCTTACAGTCTACTTAATACAAAGGAGTATATCATAGTTGTACAGTAGGATAGTAATTATTTCATAGTTGTACAGTAGAATATTAATTATAAATGAATCAAAATTTGTATAATACAAGGATATATTTATATTCGAAAATGCATTTTGTGAAAACTATGATTCAATTATATTCCTGTCAACAATGGATAAAAGGTTCAATGTGATTGTTTCAGTTATGATGTGGGAATACATAGGTGAGTAAGTGTGTGCTGAGTATTTAGCATTTAGTCTAGGGTGATTAAGTGGC